AATCGAGTCAAGCCGTAAGTAAAATGTGTAAATCATTGTGCATTATAGCGTGTATTTAAGTTAAAGTGACTATGGAAATTAAGTGCATTGCAAAGTTGTATGGAGAAAGAATAAACTAGTTTTATTTAAGAAAGGACTTGTATCGCTGAAGTTCTTCGGAAAGAATTTTTACGAGTAATTAACAAATGACCAGAGACGTAACAAAACAATTATAAGCAAGAAACAGATATATTTGTTATTCTTAATTTTGGGGGAACCCGCGAAAGTACATCTAGTATATATATTTTTATAATTTTGTGAATCTAGTATTAACAAGTAAAATACCTTAACAGGACGTAAATAACTTCCTTCCCGAATATGGTTTTGCAAGCGTTGAGAAAGTTGACTTCCTCCATTAGGTGCCACTTCATTAACAAAATCGTTGGAGGGCTAAAAATGAAAAAGGTCAATAAAACAAAGCAGGTTCATCACACATTCTGAACTTATCCTGTTTTACATTATTTCGGCAAACTGCTTTAAATAATTTTAATATGAATGACAAAGAAAAAAGAAAACACACATTTCTATAATGTAACAAGATTTACGATACGGTTAAACCTCAAATATTTTGGACAAACTTGAGTTGAACTATATATGTGTATGAAAAGCCAAGAAACAATACTTTATGATGCTCTAATAATGAGATAGCAACCAAAACTAAATGTCTAAACTTTCATTTGACCTTCATTGGTCACACTTTGGAAACATATAAAAATGTAGTAACAAAAAGTTTGTTCGCTTTTTTGTTAAGCATAAAGCTACATAATAAGTTTTCTATGATGTGTCCACCACAAGTATCAAAACCCAATTTGTAGCGTTATAAGCCATCATACTGCAAAAACAAATAATGCAATGAAAGAGTGCATGGGCCGCCCATTCCACTATTTTGAGCCATAGTACGAGAACCATTCGCTCGATGCAAAGGTACCAATGCTACACCCGTCATTAGGCGTTACTTTCATTTGAAGTTGGCTTAATATGTTTTGTCACCAACCTCCTCGCTCATATAAGCCATCATTCGTGCCATTAAAGCTGCAAAATTGAAAAAGCTACTCTACCAGATTTCATTGAAATTGGCTTAGCAATTTTTTATAACAGATGCCAGACCAACAGCCGTACAACTCTGTTGTGTATATACACGTATATCTGAATGTATATATACGTATAGATATTTTTTGCAAGTTTCTAACTTTTCATTATGAAAAATAAACAAAACATATTTGAAAACACTGAAAACTTTGGAAGCATGTAGGGAACACTGATGTTTTTTTTTTGTTATTTCAATATCAATTATTTCGTCTACTTTGGATTTTTAAGTGTAATTTAGATTTTTTATATTTAAAACTGTAATTCTGATTTTTCAATTTTCTTTTCTTCGTATTTTCTTTTCATATTGCATGAGAAAATGGCTGAATCAACACTGGAAAAAGTAGGCTTATGTTTGTATATCACATTATTCACTTTAATCGCCATTCATTACACTTTATTTATTTACTGTTTTGTTTTCGTCATAAACAGAAGCTAAATTATTCCGTATTTGTTTTGCTGTTAATTATTACAGTGCTGAAAATGACCAAGCTAGACTATTAATGTATCCCGTGAAGCAGAATACTTAAATAGCAGTACAAGTAAGGCTCTAGACGTGTTAATACGCCTATTATTGCCCGTGATACCTGTATGAAAACCTATTATCTCAAATTAATCGTGTTCATTTGATTTCCTGTTCTAAACTCCGTAAACTTCGTTTTCTTAAATATTTTGAATTTCCGGTTAATGAAAGTTTTTCTGTAAACAACAGTGATTGTTGAATAATGGTACTTACATGTTTTATTGGATATAGTTTATTGTAAAACAAATGTTTTGTTTAATACTCTAGAACAGTAAAACTAAAAGACAGTGCCTCATCTGAGACTATAAATGTTGACACAATGTAAACCCCAATCCACATAAAAATAACTATAATCTGGTAACTATCAAAATCAAATGATACACGTTTATGTATTACTTGTCCTAATGTCTTTCTTCTGTATTTTTATAAATTATAACTAACAAAACAGTACAAGTACCGTTATTCAACAACTACTGTTAATTATAAATAAAACTTTCATGAACCGGAAATTTAAATTTTTTTATGTAAACAGACTTTATTGGGTTTAGAACACAATTATCTGACAACGCTTATTTCTTAAATCAAGTGTAAATGTTTGTGCTCAATCATGTTGAAAGAATTACTAACGATATCTACTGAAGAAAATGTTAAAAAATAATAGATAATTATGTTATTAATATTTCTCCAACTTATACAATTGATAAACTTTTGATAACTCTTATTCTTACTTAGGTAATTAGTAAATATTTTTTTATTAAAGTCTAAGATTGTGAAATTATTTAATGATGCCTATCTGTACATGTGTCTATAGGAATTTCTATTCAGGTACAAAATTAACTAAAATACAGCACCCCATTATCGTTAACAAATATCAGTTTTCTGTGCTTGGAAGGCAACGTTAAATCCACTACCAGATGGCTCTACCAAAGGATTGTAGAACGTTGTACGTCTTTCGACTATAACAACTCGGGTGTTATGGAATGTGACAGCGAAAATAAATTCGAACACTTTGACATTCCATTCATGACAACAGATTGAAGAACATTAGCAATCGAATAAGATCTGACCATTAAGACTTTGCAGCCTGAAATAAACATCATGTTGAATTATAATGGCTGGAAATGGCTTGAATGGGTAATGAAGAGAAACTTTAATATAAGTTTTTCTTCATTACCCATTCAAACCGTCTCCAGCCATTATTAGTCTCAAAGTGAGTTTCTCGTCATCGAATCATGTAGAATTATTTCAATATTTTAATTAGAGTATGCCTGATCACACAGGTATTATTGGTAACGGCTAACCCTACCCCTGTCTCTCATATCACAATTACTTCAGGCTTATATAAAAGTTTCAGACAGAGGCGTCACTAGGCGCTGGCACACGGGGCCTGTACCCCGATTCTAGTTGACAGTGCCCTGAATCCCCAGTTGGTGTCTTGAGAAATCATAATAGACGCGCCTGTGGGCCCTAGGCCCGCATCTTTGAAGCAGTTAGTGACGCCTGTGGTCTCAGGTCTCGCTTGTTCCACCATTTTGCGTCGTAGAATACATTAATGACCTCGCATGGTTATTTTCAGCACACTAATGATTCACAACAAAGTAAATACGGAATAATTCAGTGTCTGTTTATGACGGAAACAAAATAATAGAAAAATAAAGTGTAATGAATGACGATTAAACGTGGTAATATGGTATATAAACATATGCCTACCACTTTCAACGTTGGCTTGGCATCTTTCACCATTTTGTCATGCGGCAAGACAAGGCATGTGAATTTTCACTGTGGTGGAAATAAACAAACAAAAGAAAATCCAAAAATCTGAATAAAATTTAAGTATCAAAATTACATTTTGAAAACAAGATTCTAATCAAGAAAACCAAAATTTTATTAAAAACTGCAAATCAAACGATAGAAATAACGAACAAAACAAAATAAGATATCGATGTTCCTCATGGGCTTCAGTGGAAAACAGATTTATTATAAATACTTTTAAAAGTAGTTTTATAAATATGTGTGCGTCGTATTACTTATTTTTATTTGTTGCTACAATGACAGTCATTAAAACTTACAAACATGTCCTCTTCGCCAAGAATCCTCGTTAAGTGAGATATATATGTAGTGGCTAGAATCAAAACGTCCAGTTTAGAAAGTTTGGTGTTTGGTGGAACGTATGGAAGTGCTCTTTGAAGGGTTTGGAAAGCGTCTCGCAGACTCCTGACTCTCGTTCTTTCTCTTTCTGCATTTCTAGAGGTGCTACAACCTTTGGGCCAAATTTTCTTTCCTTTGACTATAGAAACTAAAAACGACATTGTAAGGGTTAAACAAGTAAATTCTAGTATAATTAGTGAGGACATTGAGTGCAACAAATATCAATAGTATATAAATCAAAATAATTTTAAAAAATGATTTACATCCAGACAACGCTAGAGCGTTGTGATAAATATTTAGGTCGTTGTTTTTTCGATATCGCATAGCTACACAATGGGCTATCGGTACCCTGTCCACCGCGGGAGATCGAACCTCGGATTGTAGACTTACCGCTGACCCACTGTGGAGACGATGAGTATTTGAAGGGAACAGAAGAGATTGAAGAACGTTTTTATTCAATATTTTTGTTTGAGATAACGCTTTTATCCCAAACGTAAGCATTTGCAACCTTATGTATACTATATGTAACAGTTTCTAGTGTTATGAAAATAGCAAAATCTGGCACTTTTCCAGAAGAAATTATAGACTTGCATATGAAAATTATATAACTTCATAACAAAATTTAAGTTCAAGTGAACCATTTAAATCTTTGACATACTCTGTGTACACATAAGCTCGTATACTGTAAAATAATGTTTAAAATTCACGAACTATCATGATGTCATGGAATTCGGACGTTTAACTAAGGCAAGCTTAACTCTTGTGTACACTTGAGCTGTTAGTTGAAAATACTTTTAACGACAAACTCAATAGCGATATGATAAACAATTTCTAGAGTTATATTGTGTTCACTAGTTAGCAATGAATATATAACTGAAATATGTTAATTGCCCCAAAACTGTTCATTTTTGAACGACAGGTTTCATTTATAAATTTCGAAGGTTTTTTTGACATTAATGTTTTGTTTCTTGGTAAGCGTAAAGCTACGTAATGGGTTATTTACTGTGCCCAGCGCGAGTATCAAGACTCTGTTTTTAGCGTTATAAACCCTTAAACTTACCGCTGAGCCACCACGGGCTCGTTTTTTTTTAAAGGACGTATAACTGAAAAAACATATCCTGCTTATTTTGGTTGATGCTGAAAGGTTTTTGATTACCATGATAATACTAAACGAGGCACATCAGAAAATAAAAAAAGAGGGAATTACCTAGTTTGAATACTTTGTTTCACAGATATAACAAACGAAGCCAATACACCACCATTAGGAATATTTCCGCTTTGTGTGAAAACCTTATCCAGAGAGAATAATGGATTTTCATAGCTAAAATATTATTTTATGTTTTATCTAATTATTTTAATGAGTTCCCTTTGATATAAAACATAAAACTTCGTGATCATAGATTAGCACGATTAAGTCATACTAAATAAAGATATCACAGATATTCTGTATTTTGAGCTGCAAAACACATCAACAAAAAAGCAACATGCTCTTACTTAGTTCTAAATTCAACACAATATATAACCCTAGAATTACCGATACGATCCAAATGGACCCACCAGCTTTTCAAACATGTCTCTAAACAACTACCTACTTGTGAGTCCTTGACCGTGTTGTTTACAGGATCCATAATAGCATTGGAATCATACAAAAACTATAAACAAGGTAGTCTGAGAGTTAACCTTTACAAATGTTAGGGTGAAAAACTTCCCGTAAAGGTTATGGGCACGTGATTTCTTAACGTTTCTAACTTTCTTTTACTTTTCTAAAAATGTAGTCATAGTTACCCTTTTTTTTGCTTCTTTTAGATTTCATCGATGAAACAAAATTCATGTTCAGAAATCCACCCTTAGTTGACATCTCGTTTACATTCATCTTTCTTCCTAACGTCGGATCCATTACAAACACAGTACTTCTTTCTCTTGGACAAAACACTTTTATATTCTGTCCAGACAGACTTCATCTAAATAAAATCACACCCTATAATAAATAACCTTCTATCAAACAGTCTATAAAAAATATCAAATAACACTCAAAACAACGAATTGCGATTTGTATGTTGATCACGCCTTATCGCTGGTGTTGCTGTACATTGATAGATGTCATTAATGATTTGATCATCCACCCCACACTACTACACTGGCTCATATACCCGGTGAATACGACTCAGTGTCTGCTGTGGTTATGTTTTTCTTTATTGGGTTTTATTGTGCGTTAGATAATCAAAATAATATTGGCGATAACATTTTTTAGTTTGATTTAACAATTTAAAACAAGAGGATTAATACAGGATGATATCTTACAACTTAATTAAATCCCAAATAAAAATATGTAATTATCGTGACATGTTATGTGGTTTGATGTAAGCTCTATCCGAAACGTCATCTCCAAAACTAGACAGAAGGCAAGAATAGTTTATACGAAACTACAGTTCTACACATTCCTAAAACATTATTTAATTGTTGCGATGTTGTTTTTCTTTTTTGTACTATTGGACAGGATTTTGGCCACGTTCGTGTTGTTACTTAGTTTCCTTGCAAAAGCTTTAACAGTTGTGGAATAAACAAAACAACAACACAAAACATGATGTAAAATAAGAAGCGTAGTTTTCTGTTACTGTCTCGATGAGGATTTTGTGATAAGTTATTTGTCGCAATGTGTTTCTTGACAATTTTTAGAGTAACTTACTTTAAATATAAAAAAATATACAACTGCATGATACGAGTATTGTAAGCTTATTCAGAAATGTTCATATAAATATATCAACATAATTCTTATCGAATTCTTGTCATATTTTAAACTAGACTATGTTTCTTATGTAACTTATGTTTAACAACTTTTTTCTCTTCCGCCCCCCCCCCAGAGGCACAGCGGTATGTTTGCAGACTCATACCGCTAGAAATCGGGTTTCAATACCTGTGATGGGCAGAGCACAGATAGCCAATTATGTAAACTGGTTCATGCACATTGAGATACAAAAACAACTTAGAATCATATAACTTGTAAAAATTGCTGGTCTCTAAATAACACTTGTACCAACGAAAGATTGCTTGACAACTTTTAATTAAAATAAACGATTGTATAAATATTCATTCAGTATTTGTCAGAGCAACAATTTTACAACTGAAAATGTCAAATAACTATTCACGATAACCTATCCTAGTTCAATCAGATTTTCAGGAGACTTAAAGAGAAAACCAAGTAAGTATCTAATAGCAACAGTTTATTGCATATAATAGTATATATTTGTTATATTCATAACATAATAAAGTTTTCTCTCTAACGTAGGTTTATAACAACAACAAAAATGTAGTTCACTTACCCACAGACATGCCAATATTTACAGGCTTTGAAAGTTTTGCTTGTTTTCCAGATGTGATGAATTTAAGGTTTTCCCTCTAGTTATTTTAGACGTTGGTGTTCGTAATTGAGTTGTGTGTGGAGAATACGGTGCAAAGAAATTTAATCAACTGTCTAATGTATGGCCTCATATAAAACTTTTTGTGGCAGGCACCAGCTCTCTCCACTGCAGTAACCTAACCTTGTTGAGGAACTTTAAGAGCTAGTTTTCACTGACTTTTAAGCTGACCCTTTATATCAGTAACCAGGGTGAGCTAGGTGCCGACGGTGTACTCAAAATCACTAACGAGTAAATTAAAATGCATGTCTGAACTAAATGATGGACTTAGCAGTTTGTTATTGACCTCACACTGGAAATACGGCGGGAAAAAATTCTGTGCTTTTTTAATTACTCAAAATGACGCCATGACAGAAACAAAGAGTGCAATCGTAAAAATGCCGTTCCTTCTAAGTGACCCTTCACGATCTTTGCTATGTAAACCGTTCGCGCCCGGCTCACTTCGGACTTGAGCACGTGGCACGAGCCGCGCTTTCTAGAGTCTAGAGAGGTGATATGTTTCCCTTTGACAGGATCCTTATCGAGATTGAGCGATCATGTGTGGGTCGGATGTCAGACACCTTCCAATTAAGGAATTACATCCTAATTTACTACCCCGTGAGAATGTCTCCGGCGTCACAAAGTCATTTTTTATAGACTACCTGACCATGTTCAAGAAAAGACTGATATAAGCCCAGATAAAAAAAAAATGGTCACGCATCAAAATATTGTTATTCTCCTCCTCCTTCGTTTTCTCTCTCCATCACAGTTGAACTTAAACTGTTTTTCTTATACAATTCTCTATAAATTCTTACTCTCAAAGCTGAAATACGATCTTATAACAACAAATCTGAAATTCAAACGGAGGTTGTTTTAACGGTTTTCATTGCTCAAAAGTTAAGAAGAGTTTGATTGTCGATACGTCATTATACAGTTACTGTGGTTTGATTGTCGATACGTCATTATACAGTTACTGTGTTTGATTGTCGATACGTCATTATACAGTTACTGTGGTTGATTGTCGATACGTCATTATACAGTTACTGTGTTTGATTGTCGATACGTCATTATACAGTTTCTGTGTTTGATTGTCGATATGTCATTATACAATTACTGTGTTTGATTGTGGATACGTCATTATACAGTTTCTGTGTTTGATTGTCGATATGTCATTATACAGTTTCTGTGTTTGATTGTCGATACCTCATTATACAGTTACTGTGTTTGATTGTCGATACGTCATTATACAGTTTCTGTGTTTGATTGTCGATACGTCATTATACAGTTTCTATGTTTGATTGTCGATATGTCACTATACAGTTTCTGTGTTTTCTTTTGTTATTTGTGACCAGTTACAAATCGTAAAGTTTCACAAGTATTCCACGGTTTGTTAATTAGCTACTATTGTAAATTCTAAAATAACAACTAAAATAGCCAGTTTTTTTATCTAATGTTTAGGAGTGTTTTTGAAGGGCTGGTTATCTATTTGCGAAGTTACTTAAATTTTGTTTTACAATCTGCAAGTGTCTAGACTTGGACTGATAATGTTTCGAACGGTTCCAGCTTCTTTTTTATGAAAATAGTAGCACATCGCAAACAACTAGCTGTTGTAGTTTGTGAAGCTTCGTGAAAATGAAAAACCACCAATTTTCCACAACTTACATTAAATAATAAGCTTGAGAGCTTATAACGCTAAAATGCGGGGTTCAATTCCTGACATTGACACAGCACAGGTCTTTTCCACAGCAATGGTTTACTTGATATGTCAGAAACAATTTGTTTTTAATTAACTGTTTTATGGGAGAAAATCCAAAACTAAACGAAAGGAAAACAAGATATATCATTTCTTATTAGCCAGGGGTAACATGGATTGAAAGAATGCACAGTTATAAGATCTGTACGTTAATATTTCGTTCTGTCCAGCAGTGTTTTGCTACAAAACCATATCCATTACCCAGTTTATTGGTTCTCGTTCACGAGCCTTACTTCTTAATTAGTATTACTGTGAAATGCCGGTGGGGATTGGGGGTGGGGGGTGGACATTCGTTAGGTAATGATAGATATTTCTCAGAACCGAACTACCCAACTCATATTTGTAAAACGTTTTCAAATGTGATTTTTGTCGGGGTCTAACCACTAGCAGTTCTTTGATTAAATTATCACAGTTTCTGACCCTCCTCGTCTTACGAAAAAAAAAACCTCAACAGATTGAATAACAAGCTGCACGAGGTTCCCAGTGACGTTAGGTTGGTTACAACAGACAGATCCCATAAATTTTCCCGTGTTCCCATCCAGCCTCGTTTCAATAAATATCAATTACAATTTAAGGAAATATTACATTTCAACCTCATTTTCTGAACTCTGAGATATTCAGTAAGATGAACTCGGTGCTGAAACATTATATCAATTTAAGAACTTATATATAAGACATCTGTAGTAAATTGAGTTGAAATGGCATATTATTATATATATACATGATGATAATCGTATTGTATTAATTTATCTAATTTGGCATTACAATATACTATTTGTCTTCCTTCTGCCCATAACAAGAAAGCAGTGACTCTTCAACGTTATATTCTTATCCTGACATTTTAAAACATATGGGGATCATCCTGAGTTTGGCCTCACAGGAATAGACTGTTTACTGTTTGTATAAAAAAACTTGTTATGACATAATACCTGTGTTGACAGAGTTACAAGTGCATTTATAAGCAGCTGTGTGCAACTGTTTTACCAGTAAACTATAAAATACTTTAGTAAGAACAGATGTACTTTGAAATGAAAACCATACCTGATGGAAATGTGAGACAAGTATAAGTGTTTTTTTTTCTAGTTTCTTTACGATACCTAATGTGTTGTGACGCTATCGATTTACAGATGACCATTTCATCATTTTCCTGCTTAATTTGTTTTTAAAATGAATTCAAAATTATAGAAAATGTAATTAACTTTAAGTTGAAGTAAATCTAGTTAAAAAGAAATATATATTAGTGACCAGAATATTTTGACAGTTTTACAAGTGGTAATATTTCAACATTATGATATTTCTTTACAAAATATATTGGATTACCCACTATTTTTCGCTACTACCATGAATAGAATTCAATTTTCTGTAAAAATAATCATCTTAATATTGTTACGCAAATACAAAAGGTTGTGTTGATATTTCACAATCGTCCAGCTAGCCGAAATATACATTTATATATAACGATTTGTCATTGTCTCAAGCAGGCTGAAAATCTGGAACGTGTTTGTTATTTATGACTGATTTTCAAACACTACATGTTACCTCACATTCATATAATACATTTTTACAAAAACAAGTAACAAGTGTTAATCTTAACACGAAAATATTTGAGTTTTTCTCGATAAGATGTTATCATAAATGATCCACAGTCCGCTTCTTCCAGTGTAAAACAACGCCCTCCACTATATTTAAAACATTATTTTACCCCTATCATCACACTCACGTACAGAACAATTTAACTTTGTGTTTACAAACCTCACATCTGTTCTTTCCATCGCTACTACATCTTGCAAATATGTTATACTAACCACCGTCTATCGCCTCCACATTTAGAAATCTATTTAATGTCCACTGTCAATCGCAACATCTACAAACCTGTTTTAATGCCACTGTCAGTCGCCACATCTACAGATCTGTTTTAACGTCCACTGTCAATCGCCACATCTACAGATCTATTACAATCTACACTGTCAATCGCAACATCTACAAACCTGTTTTAATGTCACTGTCAGTCGCCATATCTACAGATCTATTACAATCTACACTGTCAATCGCAACATCTACAAACCTGTTTTAATGTCACTGTCAATCGCCATATCTACAGATCTATTACAATCTACACTGTCAATCGCAACATCTACAAACCTGTTTTAATGCCACTGTCAATCACCACATCTACAGATCTATTACAATCTACACTGTCAATCGCCACATCTACAGATCTATTACAATCTACCCTGTCAATCGCCACATCTACAGATCTATTTTAATTTCCTCTTTAATCGCCATATCTAAAGATATGTTTAATGTTCTATTGTCATCGCATCTGCAAATCTAGTTAGATGTCTTTATCATCATAACCTCAACTAGAGACCTGGTTTACTACGTTTCTCTCTATGTATTTATTTAAAATACATTTGTTCAGAAAAGAATACCGATCGAGATTCAGACATGATATTGACATTGATGGAATTGTGGAGACAGAAAACGTGAATTGTTCCATAATACTGTCTTGTTTTCCTTTACTTGTTTTTTCAGAACTATATGTGATTTTTTTTAGTTTTGGTGGCTTGTGCAAACGGAAAATGTGATTTTTTTTCTTTTTCTTTACTTTAATCCAGTTTTTGTTTTTCCGAACTGCATACAATTTCTTTTAGTTCTAACATAGTAGAATATTTTCGTTTCTTCTAAGCCAATTGTAGAAAAAAGTGTCTCTTTCTAAGTTAGTATATAAAACAATTTTATTTTTATTGTTTAATACAAGTGATGTATTATTATTATTATAGATGGTGTTACCTACAGATACGGTAAAGGCTCCAGCCAAGTTAGAAGAATGAAGTAATACTTCTATATATAGAACATAACTTTTGGATAAATCTTGTATATTACCATGGCTGTTATAAATGATGAAATGCTAATATTCTTACGTTTATGAACAATTCTAAATACTCGTACCTCACATTAAAACAACAACTTCATATCTGTTTTAGAGTAAGAGAAATTAGCAATGGTAAAATTATTCATCGTCTTGTTCCCTTTCCCGAAGAAGTAAAACGCGTGATAAACAAAGGAGAAACGGAACGAAAGAAAGTTTCAATAGATACTAATGTTATTTATGAATATTGTTTATACATATAATGTTAATGGCGGATTACTCTATACAGCCACTAGGTTCTCACTGATGACTTAAGGGCCTAGAATCAGATTGAAAACCTGAAAATGGTCTAAGATACTGCAGCTGTGTTGATTTTTTCCTTTACAACTACTGCTCGATTCCCATTTCGGGTGAAATCTTATTTTAAAATCAGAATGTTTGAAAGGGGGGTTTCTAATTGGTGATATTAAAAGG